AAATCCCCTCGGTTGACACCGGGGTCTGAGCCATGTGAGAGGACAAGATGGAGTTCGGCATGGGGGTGGGAAAGGGCTGGGCATCAGAGGAGATGGTGCGGGGGGCGGGGGGCCTTTGGGCGGGAGCATCGTGATGGAGGGCCCTGGTCGTCAGCAGCGGGGACAGTGCTGGGTAGGAAAGGGGCACGGCGAGGTCTGCGCTGCAGGTAGACTGGAGGTGGCATGAGCCTGCGGGGGAATGGAGGCAGGAGAGCAGCAAGGAGTCCGGTGCTGTCCCTGGGACCCAGGCGAGGGGCCCAGACAAAGGCAGAGGCTGGTGATGGGTGGGATGGACAGGGGGACTGACGGGGGTGGAAGGGTGAGAGAGAGGGCCGTGGGAAGGACAGGGGAGAGAGGGTGATCGCCCTGGCTCTGGCCAGGATGGCGCAGGGCACAGCCAAGGCGATCCTGGCTCATCGGGGCACGCTCAGAGTGCAGCCGGGCACGAGGCCTCAAGTCCAGCAGGAAGGTCCAAGTCAGCAGTGGAAGACGACTGCCAGCAAGAGCCTCCTTCTCTTGTCTGTGCATGGGGACTGTGACACCTGCCTCCTAGGAGTGGTTGTCTTCGGCTGCGTGAGCTAACATCCAGAAAAGCACTGAACAAAACAGAGTGGCATCCATATGTTATTCAATAGGAAAAGCAAATGGCTGGAGGCTGGACAAACCTCTGACACATGCCCACCTGGCCTTTCAGGTAGGGCAGGACACTGAGATCTGCTGTCCTCTCACCGCCCTTTCGTCTCCAGGGGGATTCCTGAAGCCGGAATCACCTAAGGGGTGGGGTCCCACCTATTACCCTGTGCCATACCATCCTCCCTCTCTGTCTGGGAAGTCGAACCCAGGGAATCTGTGGGCTGGGCAGGGGCCAGGAACCTCAAGGTGGCAGAAGGGGCTTCTGGCTCTCTCTGAAACAGCTTGCCTGCCCTCTAGTGGACTTCTGAAGAGTCTCGCACACTCGTGCTCTTGGGAATCCAGAGCAGGGGTGCAGCACAAGCAAGGCCAGGGACAGAGCGGGGACTAGAGGCTGCACGGCAAGCCCTCGGGGAAAGGACTGGGGCTTTGGTGTCCTACAGCCTCAGGTGAGCTCAGCAGCAAGTGGGGACCCACTTCCTAGGGCTGCAAGGACGGTCCCTGAGACAATGCACATACCACATGTTCAGTACATGTGTGGCCCTTTCCTCCTGCTCCACATCACTTCGCTTCCCCCTGTAAGAGTATAGACTCAGCTTTAACAGTCTTTTGAGTAAACCTGGATTTTTAAAAAAGATTTTATTTATTTATTTTTAGAGAGAGGGGAAGGGGAAGAAACATCAATGTGCGGTTGCCTCTTGCGCACCCCCTACTGGGGACCTGGCCCAAACCCAGGCGTGTGCCCTGACTGGGGATCGAACTGGCGACCCTGTGGTTTGCAGGCTGGCGCTCAATCCACTGAGCCACACCAGCCAGGGCCAAACCTGGATTTTTGTGCATTAATGTAGGTGAATTCCCTTAAAGTGAGGTTCACCTGCCACCACAGTGACCTCCTCCACCTCCCTTACCCTGCTATATTTCTTCTTTCACCAGGGTCACAGAAAGAAGGCTTAGACCCAGCCCTGCCCTCCAGAAGCCCCAAGTCTGCTAGACATGGTGGCAAGGATGCTGTGGAGCCAGAGGAGATGCCCCTCCCATAGCACTTGGGGGTGGAAGGCAATATATCAGGGAAGGCTTCCTGGAGGAAATGGCAAAGTAGCAAAGATGTGAAGGGTGAGGAGAAGTTGGCCAGAAGGGATGGGAAGCAAAGGGGCTGGGGAAGAGCACCCAGGCTGGTGAAAGGATTGGAGGTAGACAGTCCAAGGCAGCAGCAGGGGTGGTAGCCAGTAGAGAAAGAGCAGCCGGGGAAGCCACCGGCTGGCACACCCAGCATGCAGGATCCCAATGAAGCCTTAGACTAAGCAAATCCAGATGCAGGGAGCAGCCGAGGAGACCTCAGGAGCAGAGATGGCTCATTGAAGGCCTTTGGGCTAACTAGTTCATTAGCTTGTTCACTCATCCACTCAGCCTCCCAGTACGCACCTCTCCATGGGCACTGGAATGAAGGGATAAACTACATAATGTTGTTGCCATCAAGTGAGGGTCAGGCACGGCACCTACCTAATTACATACAGGGGGAAGCTGGGAAAGGTTTTCTGGAGGAGGTGGTTTTTCTGGTGGACTTTGAAGGATGTGTAAGAGTTTACCAAATGTTGCAAAAGGGCTTAGGTGATCTGGGTAGGGAAAACAGCAAGAGCAAGGCATGGCATCATGAGGCGCTCAGGGAAGAGGACACAGACAGGGCTGCCACGGCCGGGGGCTGAGTGGTAGGGGCCAATGAGGTGAGGACAGCGCGCATAGGGCTTCGAATACCAGGTTCAAGCATTTGGTTCAAGCACTTTTCTAAGGAGTTCATCCCAAATTGGGCCCGCCCGAAGAACCATGAATCAAGCAAGTCCCGATCACCTGGCCCTGTGAGGACCTTCTGGAGCCCCGTGGGCCCATCTGTCATCACAAGAACCCAGTCCCCTAGAGGTACCAAGAGTGTCCCATTGCTGAGAACCATCCCAAAGGAAGAGGAGTGTGGTCTCAGGCTGGCAGGGGAAGATAGGGGGACTTCAGAGGGACCAGCTAGCACTGACTGATCATGAAAGTCATAGTGTGGGGCCCCATCTTTGGGGTTCCACCTGGCATGTGCCCGGAAGCCCCATGCAAATGCTGGGTGGCTTCTCACAAGAGGAGGGCCAGCTCTGAGGCCTCTTCAGCCTCATCCGTCCTCACCCCATTTGCAGAAGAAAAAGTTGTGTGGCCCCTGAGGCCATCCCCTCCAGGAGCCTCTCAGGGACCGTTGCCATTTCTCTGGGCTGTGGCCGCACTGTGGAACCACCTCAGATCAGGAGACCGACTTCACCCTCTGAGCCTCTGTCTCCTCATCTAGAAAGTGGGCAAATAACTCATCTCTCAGAAGGTGCTTGTGGTTGAGACATTGTGAGTAGACGCTCCAGGCAGAGTCTGCCCCACAGCAGGCAGTGGGGAATGCAGAATAAATGAGCCCAGGACAGAGGAAACCAGCCCTGCCCCTGGCAGGGATGCGGCACAGGAGCCAGGTGGGCACTGGCCTTCCTCCTCAGAGACCTGGTTCCAGGCTGATGGAAGAAGGCGGGGAGGGGAGAGGACCTCAGTGCGTGGTGGTCTGTTTACAAGCAATGTGTCACCCTTGGAGCCAGAGTTCCTCCCGGAGCCCCCAGGTTCCGCCCCGGGGTTTGGGCGGGGGCACCTGAGAGCAGAGCGGCCTCAGTCCTCCTCAGACGGTGGGCAGAGGGCTGGGGCCGCCCTCCTCTGGAGGGGGACCCAAAAGTAAGGAGACCCATGGCTGGATGCAGACACACCAAGACATACAACCCACACGTGTACAAAGCATGCACTTGGACACACACCGCACATACAGACACGCATTGTGTGCGGAGGCAACAATATAAGGAGATTCACCACTGTTCTCAGACTGGTGCCCAGACAGACATACTTGGACACATGACATACACAGGTAAAGCAGCACGCATGCAGACACACCAAGGCCCATGTATATAAGATACGTATACACAACTCACACAGACACAAAAGTGCACATGTACAGAGCCATGGGCATGTCCCACAGACGGGTATGTGCAGATCCTCCCTTCTCAACACTCCCGCCAGAGGTGCATGGTGTTTCCACAGTCCTCTCCGTTAATCTCACAATGCCGTGGGAGGTAAGAGTGACTGGCCTCGTTTTGCATTTCAGGAAACTGAGGTGTAAAAAGGTTAGGTCTAAGATGAGCGGGCCATGGCATCTCCCAAGGCCAAATCCAGCACTTCCCACCACACAGCCACTCATGGCTCCAAGCATACATTACCCATATCCCTTTCACATCGCTGCTCTCTTACACACACACACACACACACACACACACACACACACACACTCACACACACTCTGCCTGGCCTCTGTGAGCACAACCATCAGGCAGAGCATTTTCCCAACAATTCCCAAGGGGTCTTTTGAAGAAGGACCAGTTTGTTTAGGGTTGAACCTGGCCCTTGGCCCCCAGCCCTCTCCCCCTTGTCAGGGAAATGAATCCCACATGCTCCTGGTCTGCCTGAGGGTTTTAGTAAACACTCTTTGATGTCAGAAGCCAGTTTAATGAGTTAGCTGTGGGTTTGTTTTTTTTCTGTAAGAAGTCTCCTTTTCTTTAGAATCAAGGCATTATCACTCTCCTGCCCTCCCCCCCCCCCCCCGAGATTCTAGGAGCTCACGACCTGAATTCCCAGCCCAGCGCTCACAGATGCTCCGAGGATTAGGCCGGCTCGGGGAGGAGGCAGTGTCCTCTGAGTATCCACTCTGGGCCGAGACCTGTGTTAGGAACAAGCCCTGCACGGGCCTTTCGACTCCTACTTTAGAGATGACAAGACTCCGAGAAGAGGTGTAATGTGAGAAGGTGGTAGCCCTGCTGAGCCTGGAGCCCTGTCTGCCCGGTTCCAGTTCCTGGTAGCTGTCCTGCTTCCTCCGTGCCACTGGGGCAGATGACCTCCTCCCCCTGCGCCTGGGCACCTTGGCTGTACAATGGGGACGGTGTTCTGGATGTGAGGGATAATGAGCTCTATACTAATGAGCTTTCAGAGTCAAAGTGATTTGTCGAGAACAAAGCACTGCCTGAAAGGAAGGGAATATTTCCATTTTTATTGCTTTTGTGTCAAGAGGCAGCATTTACCCATAGGATTCATACTAGAATGCGTCAATTAATATCGCCCCAAGGCACTTCTTAACAAGCCCCCAGTTGGCTGCTAGGGAGCTCGGCAAGAGAATTCTTTGAGGGGAGTGAAGCGGGAAGAGGGGCTGGAGGTGTCCAGGCACAAGAGACTCTGGGCTGGTGCAGGCCCCTGTCCCACTTTGTCCCTCTCCTCGGGGGCCCAGTCTAGGCCTTCTCTGAGCTCAAAGGTCCAGCCGAGCTCTGGCAGACTTTGGCAAAAGCCTCCCTGATTTCTTGGTGTATGAGGTCCTTCCAGGAATCCCTAAGGGAAAAGAAGAAACAAGGATAATAAAACCCCACCCAGAACAACAGGGGCAGGGATTAGGAGCCCACACTGCTTCCAAGGAGCCCTTTTCCCTTCCTTGGCTTCTCCTGATCCCTACATGAGTGCCTTTCCCATGTGAACTTCGGGGGACCACGCCCCAGAGAGGTGCAGTGCTGCTGACTCATCCGCACATGTGGCTTTGAGTCCAGAAGTCTCCCAGGGGATGGGGAGCTAGCTCAGCTCTGGCCTTTCTTGCTTAGGACATGACTAGGAAGTCCATTAGGGTGGGGGGCTCTGTGACTCTCTGGGTATTACAGGAGTCCAGAATGGGGACTCTGGACCCCCACCATGCACACATTCATTTTCACATTCGCTTCCCACATGTGCCCAGAGGAGAGCAGAGCTGGGTTATTGCCTTTGCACAGAAAAGTGAGCAAGGCTCTGAGGACTCACAGCAGCCTGGCGGGGGATGCTCCTGAGCCTGGTGAGCAGAAGCAGAGGGGAGAGAAGGGCCGCTGTATGGAATGTTTCTATGACACATGATAAGGGGCACTTCCGTGGGCCCCGCTGCCTGGGTTGTGGCTTCACCAAGACATGGAGAGGGCTTTTGCCCCCTTCCCCTAATCTCCACCAGTCTTCCCAAACTGCCCCAAATACAAGGATGAATAACGTAAGCAGATATGAAAAATATAGAAAGGGAGGAAAAAGCATCCTTAGAAAATGTGACTTAAAAAAAGTCAGACTACAGCAGTTCAAGTAAAATTTAGTTAACTGCCTATAAATGCAACTCTAAGACAAGTTCCCATCCAACTGGCATCTTAGCCCTTCCTGTAGAGATTCCGTATGTGTGTGGGTCTGTGATATCATTTCCAAGCAGGAGGGGCATGCGGTGGTGTTTCTATGTGTGTATGAGCATGCGTGTGTGTGTGCGCGCGTGCGCGCCTGATGCCTATGAGGAGTGTAGTGCGTTTGCACATGTGTGTGCACTTGCCTGTATGCGCCCTTGTGCATAGTCCTCTGCGTGCTCACTTGCCGGGTCTGAGCCTGCCCATGGGCCTCGGTAGGTGTAGGATTCTCCCCTGCCTGCCTGGGAGCCCAGGTGAATGATCTCTATTCTCCTCCCTCCCTGAGCCAAGAAGATGAGAATGTTTCTGGCACTTTCTAAAGCTTCTGTCCAGGAGTGGAAAAGTCATCAGCTGAGGGAACTTGGGATGACAAACGGCTGCCAGACCTGCTAGTTCCCACTCCCAGGACGGGCGGGTCAGGACAGCCGGGAACTGGGCTGCCCAGCCCCTGCATGACCAGGGCCCCGCTGGGGAAAGGTGGGAGCAGCATCAGAGCTGAGACCTGGGGACTAGGCCAGGGCCTTCCAGGTACAGGGGACAATGAGAGCAAAGTCCCTGGGGTGGAAAGAAGCGCAGTGTATATTAAGGAACAGTGAGAAGGCCCCAGGCAGGTGGCTTGGCAGCGGAAGGTGGCAGGAGAGATGAGGCCAAGGGGCAGGCACGGGCTGGAAAGAGCGGGGCCTCAGAGGCAACAGGAAAGAATTTGGGTTTGAGCCTCAGAGGGATAGGAAATCTCAGAGGGTTAAATGGAGAACTCTCATGTGGATCATGCTTGTGTTTTCTTTAAAAGATCACTCTGGCTGCCCATGGAGACCGATGGCGGGCCCAGTGGATGATGGGAAATGGCGAGGAGCCCCTGCAGTGGCCAGAAGAGAGGCGAGGAGGTGGGGAGCTGGCAAGTAGGGGGTCTGATGGAGGCCGAGCTGTGGGATTGCTGAAGATTCCAGGACAGCGTCCGGCTTTCTGAGGGAGGCCAGCAAGGCCATCCATGAGGAGAGAACTCTGCAGGACGGCCCAGCTGCCAGGTGGACCCAGGAGTCTGAGATGCCATGAGAGCTCCAGAAGGAAAGAATGAGGGGCAGTGGGAGCTGTGCAGTCCTGGGGCTCAGAGGGGTGGCGGGGGCCCGAGGCCCAGGAGGGTACCGTAAGCATCTGGATAGGACAGAGAGCCCCAGGAAAGAGCCCTGAGCATCCGCAGCATTGAAGGGTTGGGGAAAGGAAAGGAGCCCCAGGAGGATGAGCTGGAGAGCAGGGAGCACGGCCGGAGTGCCAAGGAGGCAGGGGAGAGCCTTTTCTAGGAAGCAAAAGGGCAAAGGGGAAATGATGCTAAGCAGTCAGGTTGAGAACTGCTCATAGGTCTAGTGACATGGGTGGCGGTCACCGGTGACCTTCACAGAGAGTTCCGGGAGGATGGGTGTGGAAGTCAGACTGCGGGGGCTGGGCAGGGAGTGGGAGGTGAGGAAGTGAGGTCAGCATCAGCAGATAGGCCTTCTGAGAAGTGCAGCTCCGAGTGGAGGCGAGAAGTAGGGTGGGAAGTGGAGCGCTGTGAGGTCAGGGGACTGCCTGCTCGCGGAGGGGCGAGGCGAGCTGGAGTAGAGGGCCTCGAGGGACAGGGAAACGGCACAAAGGGCCAAAGCCGCTCTCCTGGGAGTGGGTGAGCCGAGGCTGCTATGGTACATAGAAAGGTGCAGAGGGGACAGGGACCTGCCCAAGGTCACACAAACAGTCCATGTATTGGACCCAGGCCCCATCCTCACACCAGGCAGCCACACCAGTGAGCCTTCCACACAAATGCTTCCTGCAGAACTGAAGGGCCCAGGGCTGCGTGGAGGCCTTTCTGCAAACAAAAAAAGCTGGTTCTGCACCCGGGAGGCTGGCGTGTCCTTATAAAAAGGGTATATCTGTGTGTTCTGTCCCCTGGCGGCTTCTCTCGCCCTGTCCCCTCCCTGCCTCGCTAAACCCCACTGTTTCTCGGGGAAGGGCACTTGGAGTTGGATGGGGCCAGTTCCTGTCCTCTGGCACTCTCTGCCCCAGGGTTCCTGGGGTTCCCGAGGCCTGGGGGCGCCCTGGCAGCAGGGTGGAAAGGAAGTGGCTGCTGCAGCTGGCTCCCTGCCAGTCACCCCATCCACATCAATCCATCCACATACAGGACACAGCCTGTGCTGCCCTAGGGCTGCTCCTTTCCCAGGAAGCCCAGGTGAGTCCCACACATTTTTCATCTTTGAGAGACAGCGGGGGGCAGCTTGGGAGGGGGCCATCCTGAAAGAACTGAGAGGAGCCAGAGGGAAGTTCCGATAAAGGAAAAACTCCGGTCTGTGATGGGGTCATGCTGTGGGACCCTGTGTGGGCCCTGGCCATCCCCAGGCTCAGTGTCCCCACTGGCAGAATGACCTGTGGGCCCCTGTGGGCCCTGGGACCTTCTTATTTATAGGAAACTGTAATTCTCAGTAATTGACAACACCTGTAACCCTTGCCCTTTAACCGCTGCAAAAATAGCCTGAATGGTAACAAATGCCCAATAATATTTATCAACACGTTACCCGTAGGCGGCTCAAAATGGGAAGAGTCTATATTCTCAGCCACAGGGGAAAGGTTGAGCTAATCACGGCGCACCCACGTGTTGCGACCCTGATGCTATCGCTACCAGTGTGTTTATAAAAGTGCTCTGAGCAGTACAGGAGGCTCTCAGGACACGGAGCCGAGAGCTCCGATCCGAAGGAGAAGTCGTCGAAGCAGCATGATCTCATCCGCGTCAAATGCCTCAGAAACAGGCTAGCAGGAGCCCTGCTGAAGTGCTAACAGTGCTGGCTCTCAGGGGTAGGAGAGTGGCGATTATTCAATCATTAAAAAATTCTGTATTTTCCAAGTTTTCCGCACTGGACAGGTAAGACTTTTATAATCAGACAAATAACAAGTATCAAATTTCGCACCAAAAAAAAGGCCAAACTTCTGGGGAAATTCCTGTTACTCACCCAAGTTTGATGTCCAGAGGTGTGGGGAGGGGTCTGGGGAAACCTGCCTTCCCCATCAGCCAGTAGGTTTCCTCCACACCCTTCCCCTGGAAGAGACAGGAAAGAGGATTGAGCAACCTATGCAATAGAGAGCAAGGCAGTGGCACGCAATTCCAACAGCTTGGTGGAGGGCAGCCCGGAGCCTGGAGGCAGACTGTCTGGGTCCAGATCCTGGCTCTTTCACTTCCTAGCCGATTCAGTTTGGCCGACTGACTTGACCTCTCGGTGCCTCGATTGCCCCAATACCTCCCACAGTTGCTGTGTGGATTAAATGACTTAATACTTATCTGTCAGAGAAATAAATAATCAATCATGAATTCTCTGACCAGCAGATCTGGAATGCTAAGATGCCAGGATTCTATGATCTATACTTCTCCCCGGCTGCTGAAGGGCCCGGTGGCCTCCCCTGGGATGGGGCGCAGCTGCCTGGAGGTTACGAGTAGAGGGGGCACGAGGGGCGCTCGGGTCAGGGCTAGCTGGTCAGAGGTTCCAGACCACACCCTGGGACCGAGGCGGCCATTGCCCCTTGGAGCCCCCAGGACAGCCTGAAGGAACTGAGAGTGGCTTGCTGCCCTCCCCATTCCCTTCTGGCTTCCCTTTCTGTCGTCAGGGTGCTTCTGTTCCTCAGGACACCCCATGCCCACTCCTCCCAACAAGACACACTTGCCCTGACCTTACTCCAGCTCACTCTCCTACAACCTCAGATTCCAGGGCAAAGGATTGCACACTGTTGGCCCTCGCAGGCTTTGTGGCTGTGGACAAGTCACTGCCCCTCTCTGAGCTGTATCCTCCTACTCTAACACTCTGCGGCGCAGTGCAGTAAGTCCCCTGGAACACCCAGTTTCTGGGGCCCAGTCATATCCCTGGGCCCTTAAATGCCTAGGCTGCTCTAGCCTCCCTACCAGGCCTGACTCTAGCTGAGGGACTGCGGGAGAGAGAGCAGGTGGCATAGGGGAAAACCCATTCGCAGAAATACTGTACCATTTAATGAACATTAACGCTAAAAAAGGATGCAGAGGTTACAGAATTGTCTCTGCGGTGCTCATGTGCAAGTATTACCTAACATCACACCTGCGACCACAGAGGGCTTGTCATTAGACTGGCGGGTGCACAGAGAAGGCAGGAAAGCTTCCGCTGGGGCCGAGGAAGAAGAGAGCTCCTGGGTCAGAGCAGGCCTAGTGAGCGGTGACTTCTGTGGCAGTGTTCCCAGGGCTGAGCCGGGGCCCAGCCGTGCCATGGAGAAAGCGCAGGCTTTGGAGCCACGAGACCTGGGAGACAAGCTGTGAAACTTTGGACAAGTCACTTTGCCTCTCTGATTTGATTTCCTCAACTTATAAAATGGGGACATTGATCCCCCTTTCGTTACTCCTATGAGTAATAAACATGTTAATGTATGCTGTGCACCAGCATGCAGCCAGGGTAGACCATCAATAAAAGTAACTTCTCTGCCCCGGCCCTTCTCATGAGAAGCCAAATGAGAGAGCAGCTCCAGGAAGAAGCGTTTCCTTAGAATGTGGGGAGTGGAGAGAAGGTGTGAAGGTGGTCAGCTCTATCCCCAGCACCAGGCAGGCAGTCCCTTTGGCCACATAAGTCAGGTGAGACTCTCTCCTGCTGCCCACAGACACGGACCTTTAACTTTTCTCACCAATACCAGGAAATAAAGCCTCTTGCCTTTAGCTCAGTCTGGCCTCTGATGTCAATTCTGTAGCCTTCATTCAGGCGGAGCAGCGTCTGGACAGTGCTTCTGCTGACGTGGATTCTGTATGCTGAGAAGAAAGGTAGTAATCCAAGTCGCCGCCTGGTGGCAGCACTCCTAGAGTTTGGTGGAATCCTTAAGTGCCTCTAATAGCCCCAGTTCCAGCCAGTAACACGCACAATTCTGATTCATGCCACACCCTTTGCCTGGCTCTCTTGTTTCTCCACTAGGTAGCTGGTCCCTAAAATAGAGGCCTTGAGGAAAAGCACAATTCATAAATTAGGTGGTAAGAGGAACTCAGGATGAAGTCAGAACCTTCAGGAGCAGGATTTCCACATATAGGGAAGTCCATGAAGGCTGAGTCAGAGCAGAGAAGCAGTCTTTTTTTCTTTTAAAAGCAGGACTCCCCAGTAGGGCCACCACGTCTGGATATGCAGGACGGGCACTGAATGACCGTATGGAGCCCACAAGCAGTGTGGCCAGCAGCAGAGGTCTCAGGGCTTCAACTTTTTGGCGGCTCTAACCAAACCACAGAGTGGCTCCTGCCGCCAGCAAGAACCAAAAGTGGCATCTAAAAATTGGAGGGGGCCTCCTCATTGTAAAAACGGCAAAACCAAGACCCAGAGGAAGAGCGTTTTGCTCAAGGACACTAAGCAAACCAGCTGCAGTCAGAGCTAAGACCTAGGTTTCCTGCCTCTTGAGTCATTGTTTTCTCCACTAATTTTCTCATGAGATCATCACAAAAACCTCGTGGAAAGTTAAAAGAACCAGTGACATCTCCTTATACTTGCTTTACTAACAACTAGGGTGCGCTGCCACCAGGTGGTGATTTGGTCACTCAGCACAGTTTCAAACAGCCAGGCTGCAGAGGTCATTGAGACAGAGCCTTTCCCTGGGCAGGATAGAAATAAGAGACACTCACGTAGCCCTGTGGACTCCATCCGAGATGCGGTGTTAGCAGTGTCTCCAAAGAGGCAGTACCGAGGCATGGTGAGACCCACGACCCCGGCCACACAGGGCCCTGAAACCCAAATGTGCTTAGTGAGCTCCAGCAGGTTCTGGAGCACAGAGAAGTCCCCACGACAGCCTTACCCTTCCCACCCGCACTGCTGTCCCCACCCCACATCCTGGGCTCCAGCCAGGGGTGAGGATGAAGCTATCCGGAGTTTCCAGCAACATCTAGAGAGGAGATGACATCTGTGCCAGGTTCCGGGCTGGGGGGGGCGGGGGCAGGGGCGGGGGGAGGGGAGGCAGTGGGGACACTGATAAATCAAAGACAGTCTCTACTCCTGGCTCAGTGGGGAGATGTGCAAGCTGTGATCAATGGTGTGAAGAGAAGCACCAGCACGGTGCCAACCCAGAGAGGGAACTGCGACCCGGCCCAGCGGACTTCCTAGGGGGGGCGGTGCATGAACTGTGTCTTGAAGGATGAGAGGATGAGTCCGCAGGGAACAGCAGGTGCCAGGGCACAGAAGCAGAGCCCACGTGTCTGTGGGAAACTGCAAGCAGCTGAGTTTGGTTGGAGGGCCAAGCAGAGAGTGGTGGGAGGTGAGGCCCGAGGGGTTAGCAAGGGCCTTGGTGACGAAGGGGGCAGGGCATTTGGCCTTTCTCCGGTAGGAGAAGCTATGGAGGGAGAAAGGAATGGGAGTATCCGAAGGAGAGATCAAACACCCTGAGGTTTCTCTCAGACCCATCGCAGCAAACATTTAGTTGTTCGCATGACCACAAGAGGTCTCTGGCCTGCCTCTTCCATCACACTATCTGCTCCTCGGCATGGACTTACATACTCTTGACAGATGCTGAGCCAAAAGAAAAAAAAAAAGATATGCGAATCTCTAAACACAGATTCTGTGATTTATAACACCTTAAAATAATAGGAAGAAAAGAAATGTGAATTTTTTCTATCACAGAGTTTTAGAATGTCTGAATTCCAGAAGCACATCGTTGGGGTTGCCTCAGCCAGTAAATACCCCAGGCAGGGCTGGGGGATTGGTCTGGCCCATCATCCCCACAGCCCCGAGCCCGTACCTGAGTGCAGCCCAGCCCTGATGCAAATGGGCACGTTGGGAGCGCGCCTCATCCGGAAGCTGCCCACAGAGCTGAGGATGTCCAGGGCCATGTTGGCAATCTCAGCCGCATGCCGGCTCCGGTTGCGCCAGGGCAGCCCCGATGCCACCATGTAGGCATCCCCAGTGGTCTCCACCTAGAAATCATAGCCTTCACACTCCAACGTCAGAACACACTCTCTGTGGTCTCCCCGACATCCCACACAAGGCCACCCTATGGGAGCTCACAGAGACATCTCTGCCAGGCCTCTGATGTCACTCTAGCCATGACTGGGTCTACTTATTTCAGATGGCCTTTGTCCGAGTCGCAGGCAGCCATGCCTGTCTCATCTCCTCTGACCCCAGGGCATGAGATCCTTGAGGGCAGATGCAGGTGCCCTGTCTGCGCAATGCCACCATGACAGATCAAAGTTTCGTCTGCAAAAGAGCATGTGTATATTGAATATATATCCTGGTTTCCAAACCTCATTGGCCTTGCAACACATACTGAAAAGAATGTAGATTTTGGAATCAGACAAGAGTGGGTTCGAACGCTGGCTCTACCGTTTACCTGGGGCAGACCACTCTACCTGTGTGAGCCTGTTTCTTCTTATGGGGAATGCATAGTAAAGATGCCGTATTTAAAGAACTAGGCAATTCACAGATACTAAATAAACGTAGACTTCTCACTCCATCATCATCATCATTTCCTTGGCTAATGGTTTTGGAAAAGATAGAATCCAGAATCTCAGAATTGGGAGGGACTTTAAAGGCCACCCACCCTCCTCCCCGGCTCCCGTGGCTGTCCTGGCCTGCTCATCTCTCTGAATAAGAAGGTCCTTCCTTCTCGGGGTGGCCTCTTCTCCCTTCAGGCAACTCTGACTTTCAAAAATTTAGTTGAATTGAAACTAGCCCCTCACCTCTACCGTCTGAATTCAACCCACAAACTTTTCCTAAAGGTCTTCTCTGTCCCTAAGACCCTGTTCCAGGAGCTGAGTACACGTGTGTACCACGGCTTTCCCCCTGGCCATACACCAGACGAGCCAAATTGAAGATAGCACCTGCCCCTCCGAGTCTTCCCCTCTGCAGCTAAAGAGCTCAGTTCCTGTACTGCCTCTCCCACAGCCAGCACATCCTGGCACTCCCCCGCCACCCCTCCTCTCGCCCCCCTGGGCTGGGAAGGAGAGCCCTCCTCCTAACCAGGCATGGCCAGCCACTCTCCCTTTGTATCTGGTCAGCCATAATGATAGTGATGATGCTTTCTCTGCCCACAGAGGGCGCTGTAGTTCAATACACAACATTAGCTGTGGACTGTGCCCTACTATTGCGTCCCCCAAATCTCTCCCTCACCGCAGCTGTGTCTGCTCTGACACCAGGAAGTGATCTGCTCCAGTCACACCACATTCTGCTCAGTTAAATTTGCTGTTTGTGGCCAATGGCTTAAAATTCACACCCCATGACCTAGCAATCAGGGTCTCCTATGATTTGCAGAATTTCCTGACTTATTCCTAATATTTGCTCCTGGCTCCCCAAGCTTCAGCCTAGCGGGGACCTTTCTACTTTCCTCAGAGACACAGAGACACATTTGCTCATCTCCAGGACTTGATCATCAGGTCCCTCTGCCTGAAAGGCTCTCCCCGAATCCCTATCTGTTGAAAACCAAGCCCTCCATCAGCCCAGCTCACACCTGACTGAGCCCATATAATCCTTCTGGTCACCAGCTGGGGAAAAAATTTTTCCCTCCTGAGGGCTGTGTGACCTCCCTCCCTGTCCATGTCACCTGTTGTTGGCCACCCAGCATTTATGGACTGGTGGCGAATGTGGCAGGGGCAGGGCTACCCCACCCAACTGTGTATATTTCCACAGAGGAGGGAGACCTCCCAACCCACACCCCAGGAAAGGAAAATATGAGTGAGCCCCAGCTTTCTCCCTGCCTTTCCCCTTCTTGGAAGAAGGCAAGAGTAAGTGCTGAAATAATTGTATAGCAGTTATTATGGACTAGACACTGTTCCAAATCCTTTACAAATATCACGCATTAGATCTTCACAGGAATTCTGTGAAATAAGTATTATTACTATTGCCATTTTGCAGATGGGAATGGGGCCAGAGAGGTTAAGTCACTCACCAACATCACACAGCGTAGATCTGAGCTTGGTCAGTCCAGCTCCAGAGCTCGTACGCTATGCTGCCTCTTGATGCACATGGCTTGGCCTTTTCTCTCTCTCTCTCTTTTGGGGAGAGAGGATCTGCCTGCCGTGTGGCGTTTCCCTCTGATCCTACCCTGCACGAGGTTAGCACATGTGTCTGGGCTGAGACCTGCCTCTCACAGACGGCCTGGGAGACCTGCTGCCTGATGGGCCCCACCACCAGCCCACCAGGCGTGCAGCTGCAATTCGAGGACAATGTACTTCCTCTAGGGACCCAGCACTAACTCAGAGAGGTGACCCAAGATCCAGACTGGGGAGGAGGAGCAGCGGAAAGCCACATGGTGGCCATACATCCAGGCCACATTCTCCAAACTGCAAAAGTTGACCTCTAGCCCTCCATCTGCCTGCTGCCTGAGCTGAAAGGGAGAGCACTGTGTAATCAACCCCAGCAACAGAAAGCTGGCCAGGCATGGGATCCACTCTCTAGGAACTCCGACTCATAAGCATGACCTCTCAAAGACTTAATTAGATCTTAGTTCATGGCTTCAAGTGAGGGCCGTGACTCCTAGTACACAGCTGTGGTCCTTTCGCAGATGGGAGAACACAGCCAGGGGAGAGGTGAAAACAAAGGCTTCCATACTGACAAACACAGATGTGAATTCTAACTCCACCACTGGCTTGCTGTGTGACCGTGGGTGAGTCACCTACCTCTCTGAGCCTATGTCCTCACCGGTACAATAGGGATAATGATCCATCTCTCTGAGGGGTTCTGGAAGGGCGGAATGAGATGCCCTGTGACAGTCCCTAGGCTGGTCCACCCCCCGTAGATGCTTCCCTAGGTCCGATGCCCCCCGTCCCCGGTCTGTGCTTTCAGGGAGAGGCCTCAGTGGCTGCACCTACAGTGCTACACTCCACAGTGAGTCGGCGAGTGAATGAACGATAGCACTTTGTTTCATGTTACTTAGTCTGCAGAACAATTGTAAGCCATAAACACTTTCATTTCTGTTTACAAATGAGAGCTGGAGGCTCAGAGTGGTGAAGTGATTTGTCTAGGGGCACTTGGAAGTATGGCTGGGGCCAGACTCACCCCCTCCGGCAGCTCACGTGGACTCTGCTCTAGAGTTCTTTCCACAAAAATGCTCACTCAGCGTGTGCTGTGAGGGAATTGCAGTCCCCCATGGAACCCGGAAATGGTTGCCTGGTTGCCTCCCAACCCAGACTGGATTAAAGAGCAGTAACCAGATCCTGCTGGGGATGGAGGGGAAACCAAGGCGGATGGTGGGAGTGATGAGAGACACGCTCGCACATCGTGAGGAACGGGCGTCCTGTTTCCCCACATCTGGAGGGGTGTGCGGGCCTTGTTTTATTTCATTTCACTCTGCCAGAAAGATGCAGACCTCTTGGCCAGAGTTCAGAGTAGATTAGAAGGTGTGATTCAGAGCTGGGAGGGACCCATGTGTGAGAAAAGATTAACAGGGGAAGATGAGACAGGCCAGGGGTGACTCAGGGCAGATCAAAGCTGCAGGGCTCAACAAGACAGACAAGATGCGGAATCTTTTCCTGGGGCCCATGGGGCCAGGGTGGCTCTGGAGGGAGAAAGGAAATTCAGCCAACACAGGAGACTAGGCCTCAGCGCCACAACCTGGGGCAGGAACGCGGGGTCCTGAACAGGGAACAGGAGGGACGCTGCATGCCTGGAATGTCAACGGCTCAGGTGTCTGCAGGTCAGTGTTGGGCAGTGTGATGCGGTAAAGAGAGCCAGGTTGGTAGAGGCGGTGATGTGGACATTGCAGATTCCTATTCTGGCTCTGCCACCTACCAGCTGTGTGACCTTAGGCAAGTCACTTCTACTCTGGGCCTCAATGAACAACTCATTCAGTGAACATACGAGTATATTTCCTGAGGACCTACCATGCGTTGGACATGGCCAGGCGCTGGAGACAGAGAGACTGTTGGAACCATAAAGTGTGGCTGTGTTGTCTGAGACAGTTATGAAGGCATCACACGGGAGTTCCTAACCGTGTCTGGAAGGGCAGGGAGCTCCCCGGAGACCAGGATGACCAGGGGAGAGCCAGGTGAAGACGAGGGAGTGGTGTTCCAGGAGGAGGGAACAGCATGTGCAAAGGCCTAGAGGCTACAGAGAGCAAAGCAGGTATGAGGGATATAGAGGCCTGTGGAGGTGGAATGACAAGAGACGCAGCTGGGGAGGTAGGCGGAGCCAGGTCCAAGAGGACCCTGTGGGCCACTGTGAACCTGTGGCTTTATCCTAAGGACGTCCATATCATGGGGATGGCGAGCCCGCCTAACGGGGTGTCTTGGGACTTCTACACAAGTTCCAATTGCAGCTTCTTATCCCACTGAGAATATGGAATTAGATAAGCCACCTCAGTTTCCTCATTTATTAATTAGGAGTACCTCATAGATTATTATAACGATTAAAAGGGTTAATATACACCTATAAAGTGCTTAGACTAGTGTCCAGTATATAGTAAGCACTCAATAGGTACTGATCATTGTTGTTGGTATACTGTACATAACGCTATCAGCAGACTGCCTGGACCTTTGAACACTTAGTTCTCCCCTCTGAAGCTTCCTGTTTAAGCATCGTTTCCACTCTGGCTTCAGCCCCAAGGCCTGGCCTTCGCCGCCGCTGTGTCCTTGGAGAGCTGTGGTAGGAAGGGGGATGGAGGTCACAAACAAAGGTTAAGGCCAGTCGAGCTTGAGTATGGCCGATTCCTGGGACCTCCCTTCCCCCCTCCCCTACCTTGTTGGAAGCTGATCCGAGGCCCCCAGCAACTGGATCAGAGCAAAGGACAGGGCTGGGGTGGGAAGGTCGCCACAGCAGGCTCAGAGGGGCAGGAAGCTGGTCTCAGTTTAGGCAGAAGTCCTAAAGTCCAACCATCCCCTGCGACCCCTTCTCCTTCTGGGGCTGGGGATCGCTATTTCTGTTTCATAGATAAAGATACAGATGCCCAAATAGGGGAAGCCATTTTTCCAAAGTCACAGAGAAGCTAGTGGCTCTGGAGCCAAAGCCAGGACCAAGAGGCACACAGATCGTGGAGGGTCTTGAGAGCTCTGCCACGGCGGCCCCCGCTGCGCTCTCCATGCCCCCGCCCACCCACCGCCAGCCCACTTCACGGCCAGCCCAGCCGTCACAACCATTCAGCATCCGCCACAGCCGCCGGGCCCACTCTCTCAAGCCTTGAGCTTTAGTACACGTTCCCCCGCTGCTCACGGGGAGCCACCGCACCCAGACTGACCAGTGCTAGGAAGACAGCACCTGTCCCCAGAAGGCTTTCTTGCTCTTTATTCTGCATGTCTGCCCTTGGCTGGATTGAAGGCCTTCTCAGCCTTCTCTGCCTCCCCTGATCATCAGCTTCACTGTGGGTTGCCTTCACCTTTTACCTACAGCACCCTGAAGGCAGGCACAGGAGCTGGCTCGCCTGTCTGCCCTTGCCCAGCTAGCCTGGGGGAGGCTGAGAGGCCATGTGGACCAGAGCTGAGTGGTCCCAGCCAAGGCTCCAGAGATGTGAGAGACCCAACCAAGATCAGCAGAGCTTCCTATCTCATCTGACCACAGGCGAGTGAGTCCCATCAAGTCCAGAGAACTTTGCAGCTCACCTATAGGCTTGTGAGCAATAATAAATATTTATTGCTTATACTCGTGGAGTCTGGGGTTATTTGTTACACAGGAATAGCAACCTAACAAAAACACATGACTAAACGAATGGAAGTAAATGCATGACATAAACATAGTGGAAGAGGGAGGAGACATAGAATGCCAGCCTCCTGGTACCCTCACCTTGTATACATTGTGGCTGCCCAGAACAGCATCGAACAGCGTGTAGAGATCCTTGAGCAAGCTCAGCACGTCAATGGGCTCACTCAGGGCTGAGATGGTGGTGACACCCACAATGTCACTGAAGTATATGGTAACTTGGTCAAAGTACTCCGGTTCCACAGTTGTTTCAGTTTTCAAAGCTTCAGCCACAGACCTGGAGGGGTGGGAAGGGTCAGAGTCATAAGATAGGAAGGTCCCTTTTCCACAGTTTCGAGGTGGGGGGCGGAATATTTAGGGGGAAATCCTTGGCTGAGAGTCAGGAGATCTGAGACAGGTATGGTGGTGTGTTGGCTACCCTCCAGCAAATACCTGTCTCTCTCTGGACATTACTTTTTCCAAAGTGAGACAGGGGATATTATACCCTCTCCTTGGCCCTAAGAATGCGACAGAGCAGAGATTCAATACCCAAGTGCCCAGCACGGTGCCCAGCACATGTCAGGGCTCTATGAAAATATGTTGGATAAATAAACAACAAATGAATTGAATGAATTCATGGAACCCAGATTTACTAAGCACCTACTCTGTTCCAGGCCCCATGCCCAGAGCCACCGAAGCTAGAGACACAATCAAGTCCCAAGGGGTCACTCACGGAGAGAGCATCTGGGAGAGCAGCCTTTCCGTCTTCTGCCTCTCCAGCTGCAGTTCCTCAGTCCGCTCCTGGATCAGGTCCTCCAGGTCCTGCGAGTACTTCTCCAACATGTGCAGCATGGAGTCGGCAACACTGGTCTTCTTGCCTTGGTTGATGCTTTTGAACTGAAGATGGAACAAAAATCCCAATGTATCCATGAAGACCTGCACATTCAGCCCATAGCGTGGTAGTGCTGGCCACAGGAATGAACCCGACACAGTCCCTGCCTGGAGGAGATGGATTGGTGGGAGCCAGTTATGTAATAGATGGGGACAGCAGCTCTGAGGAGGGAAAGCACAGACAGCTGGGAGGAAAAACGGCTTAGTTCTGTACGGGGCAAGCTGAGAGGGCTTTGCAAAGGAGCCCGTGCCCACCCCAGCATTACCATTAACAAACACTAGCACTATTGCACTGGTTCTTACAACAACATTGGGGACAATGCACTCTTTGTTCTTCTCAAAGATGGAAGGATGGATGGATGGATATGTATGGATGAATAAGTGAATGGATAAATGGGTGGCTAGAAAGGTAGGAAGAATATATGTAGATTATTTATATAATAATCTACTTCTATCTCTCTATTTCTGCCTATGTTCTTAAGTATTAAGAAAATAAAGAAATGCCACAAAATGAAACAGCAAATATATAAGGACACTGTGACCAAAGGAGAGTAAAGTTGAAAAAAGACAAAAAAAAGCTAATCTAGGAGTGAGGCCTCTGTGCAAAATGCATGCTAGAACTTGGCCAGAAGTTTAGATATGAGCTCCCTAAGAACAACAAAGGAAAGAGGAAAATATAGATTACATGACCCACGGGGCCCACAAGACAATGGAGCATTAAACTAGTTGCTCAAAAGAAACACACTTAGTGCTGGCACTGAGCAGAGAGAAACACCTCTCTTAGGCCTTCCTACGAGGACATGCACGTGTGGTTATAAACCGTACCTTCAACAGCAGCCTTACAACCTCTGCTTGACAATGTTCTGCTGTGGCTGGGGAGCGTGGGGGCAGGGGAGTGCGGGGATAGTTGGGAGAGGCCTGAAGATGTCCCCTCGGGCTTGGTGGTTGGCCCTGAGGGAGCCATTAGCCCGTTCAATCAGGCCCACACACCCGCTGCCCCATAGACTCGTACAGACTTGCCTCACCCCTCCCTCTGCAGTCCCCGAGGCAGCCCGGGGACCCTGGCGCCCCTTGCATCTCCTGCTCGTTCCACAGGGAACCAGCCCTGCCACCGCAGTCGCAAACAGCCTCTCAGCTCCGGTGCCAGGAGGGGTTGGGGTTCCCAGTGCCAGCTCTGCAGGCGGATGAACCTGGGTGCGGACTCCAGCCCTCAGTTACCTCAGGCAAGTCCCCTCACCTCTCTGTGCCTCAGTGTCTCTCCTATAAAGCCTAGATAATAACAACATGGCTTTTCGAACTACAGCAAGGATTAAATAAAATACGCAGAGCACTTAGCATGGGGCTCTGCTCTCAGGAAGACACTCAGAGGGTGCACCTCAGGCCCCACCCTCAGGGGTTATGGTGCCGGCCTGTTGCCCTCTTTCTGCACAGGCTTCTAGGCCCCAGGGATAGCCTGGGGCTCCCACTGGGCAAAGTGAGGTGAATTGATCAGCCATTCCTTGTGAGTACCCAGCTCCTCCGGGGAGCACTGACCTGGGTGTAGATCTGGTCCAGGCCGGGTCTGTCCTCCAGAGCCTCCTCCCAACACGGCTCCATCAGCTGGATGCACTCAGGTGGCCCATGGTCAGGGGACACGAGTGGCCGGCCCAGGGGAGGGGGCGATGCCACCTTTTTGATGATTTCTGCAACAAACACTATGTGTGTGGTGGGCCTGACGTCTCCAGGGGGGCCGTGGAAGGAGCTTGGGGTCCTGAAGGGAGAGCAGGGCAGGCCTGTACGGTGCGGGGATGAGGCCTTGAGGGTACTCCTTGGCCCCTGTTCCTGGCCCCAGGGCATGCTAACCAGGGGCCACAGAACTATTGCTTTCCTGGGCCTCCCCTGGGTGTGACTAGGGAAAGGGCCTCTGGTCTCAGGAAAGGGCCTCCCTCAGGGTATGGCTGGAAGAGTGGGGTTTAATTTCTTGGTCTGCCGCCACCTCTCTGTGAGAAGGTGGGCAAGGCAGCGACCCCTCTGACCCTCAGTCTCCCCATCTGTGAAATGAGAGTAATAATCTCTCTTCTTGAGAGGGTGCTGAGGAAGGAGATGATAGACTTTAGGTGCCTGGCACCCCGCAGCCTCTCCGCCACCCCCAGATGCTGTTGCTGCTCTGCTGCCAGTGAGATCCCCCACCCCCGGCCTTCCAACCAGCCCCGCCTCCTGGAGGCCTGCGGGCACCCACTCCCCCCACAGGCGAAGCGAACTGCCTGCTTGTCATTATCACCCTCACCATCATCATCGTTTCCCCAGGGCGACCCCTGCCATGGATCTTCTGTCCTCACTGCATGTGATAGAGACCACCAGGCTAAGTTGTGGTCAGAGAGACCCGTGTTCTAGTTCTGGCTCTGCCACTTGGCCTCACTCAGGGCCTTGGTTTCTCCACCTAACAATGGAGGCAAAGAACCTCGGGAAGCTGTTCAGCAGCCCCGGGGAGCTGAGAGAGTCACGAGGACGCGGAGAGGAAGAGAGGCTGGGCACAAGTTCAGGCTTTCGACAGAGCCGGAGGGAACTTCGAGATTACCCATTTACATTCTGTACAAGTTACATCACCTCTCGGAGCCTCAGGTGCCTCACCGATAAAAGGGGCATAATAATAGTGCAGACCGCCCAGGGCCTTCAGGAGCCATAGCTGGTTCGTCTCCTGCAAGGACGGCTGCGATCCTCCTCTCCTGGGTGAGGAAGGGGGCATCCTGGGAGCCCGTGGGAAGCTTCTTTCTGGATTTCACTCTCCTTCCCCCGCCCTTGTTGGCCTCCTTGTTGGGGGTAGTACCTGCATCTACAGACTGTGAAACTGAAGTTCCTGGAGTTAAGGCAGTAGCCCACAGCCACAGAGCAGCTAAAAAGCAGACTCTAGAACTGGGCCGGATCTCCTCCCGACCCGCCCGATTTCCTCCCAGCCTGCAGGCCTCAGACCCGAGGGCCTCTGAGTACGGCGTCTGGAAGCTGCCTGTGCTCACGAAGGAGTGTGAGCACATGGAACCAATAATACATCGCGTACGCACATGTACAACACTTTTTCAAAAGTATTCAGGTGGTGTTGTGATGGCCTAAAAAACAAATCCATTTCAAAGTGTTACCGATCTCTCAGGGCAGGTTTTGTCTTTGGGTATTTTCTCAGTCAGCGGATATTAAAAGTCAAATATTGTTACTCATTGACATAAAGGTCGAAAGTCGTGAGGTGTGGAGCTGGGTTGAGGTCGGTGTTCCCCAGTGACTGTGCCCTTAACATTTTACTCCCCCAGACCAAGGAAAGCACCGCAGAAAGTAGCAGCCTCTGCTCTCACAGCCCAACCCAAGGGTGGCCACGCGGCTCCAGGCCTGGTCCCTGCACCTAAATGCAGGATGGAGACGCGGCCTGAAGCACCCTGCCCTGGCGCCATGGCTGGCGGGCCCCATCTGGCTGGTTTTCCTTTTAATGGGCAGAGGTGGGGAGGTGTGGCAGCTGCAGAGTGTTGAGCAAATGGCCTGATGAACCCCACTTCTTCCCACCCCTCCACCTCATAAATTTGGGGCCTGGAACGCTCATTATTTACTGAGCACAGCTTTGATGAGAAAGGGAGCAGGGCCGGGCCTCCTTGTGAGTTAAAGATTATCCACTGGGGGTGGGAGGGGATGGTGGGCTCGGCTCCACCACTGCCCTGTGCTTCGAGCTGAGATGCCAGGTATCTGTGGGGACAGGCCCCAGAGACGGGATAGAGACAGCAGGGGGACAGCAGGAAGAGCAGCCTGGAGTCCAGGAAGCCCTGACAGAGAACAGGGAAGGGGAGGAAATGTTTCTGAAGTTGGGCCGTGGCACTGGGAGAGAAAACGTCTAAGATCAGGTGACAATGGGGAAGGTGTGAGCGATTCTCCTGTCCACCCAAAAGTATCGGGATAGAGATGCTCTTGAAGGAGCCCCACCCAGGCACAGAACCAGGCCCCCAAGACTGAGCAGCCTGGCCACATCAGACATGGGCTGGATGTCTGGCACATTTTAAATTTGATTCCCATCTAAAGGTGAGAAAGCTGAGGCTCAGAGAGGGTACATGATTTGTGTGAGGTCACACAGTAAGTGAGACAGCCAGGGAAGAACTGAGATCTGTGAAGACACAAAGCCTGTCCGGGGCTGTAGGGAGGGTCCTGCAGGAGCACCTACACACTTGGCGACAACACTGGGAGAGGCAGACAGGGTTGGGGCTTTCACCCAGAAACCAGTGTCCTCAGCCCTGGATCTGCCGGCTGCCATTTTGGCAGAGTTGCTGAACGCCGCCTGGCTTAAGCCAAAGAAACCCAGCAGTAATAGTCAAACCAGGCAAGCATGTCTGTGTGGTTATTTTCAGGCCTGGATTTCCAATGGTCACAGAGCCCCCTGACTATGTGGGGAAGAGGATGCCGCACCTTCTGCTGAGAGCCCTGAAGAGCCGTAGGGCGGGCCTCGAGTCAGGACCTCCTGCAGGATGATACCAACCCTGAAGACGTCTCCTTTGAGGGTGCCCCGCCTGGGCCCCCCAAGTCCCCATAACAGCTCTGGAGCCATCCACAGCAGCTCTGCAATCACAGGGCAGGGACACACAGTGTCACCCACTAACCACCCAAGCTGGGCTGAGCTGGGCAGGCATTTCACACATGTAGTGTCACCACCCTCTCCCTTTAGCCACGGGAGGAGGTAGGGTCTTCCCCAATCACAGGCAAGGGGCCTGAGGCTCAGAGAAGACAGCTGTCTGCTTCAGGTCCCCTCACTTGAAGTGCTGAATGATCATGATCTCACCCTTTCCCCTGCCTCACAAGCACCCAGTTAAACAGAGGCCTCAGAACAAACTGCTAACCCCCTGCCCACCCATGGGCTGACCTTCCAGCGCTGGACATAGGCAGGGAGTCCGCTGAGCATCCAGGAGCTCCGCATAGCCGTGGTCAGTGACCTTTAGCACAAAGCGGACATCTACCACACAGTTTCGGGACTTGAGACGGCCATGAGGGAAATGTCGATGGTGCAGATACCGCACCCCCTGGAAGGGACATAATGGGGGACCATTAGGGCTGTGGTGAATGAAGGGGAACCTGGTCCTCTCAGAATTGTCATGGACCCCAGAAAACTTTCTTGCCTCCCCTCGCCCTTTGCCACACTATTCAGACCTTTCTCAGACAAAACGAGGACAGCCCAGGTCTGGGAAGTCTGAGCATCTTCTCTCTCTACCCTCCCCACTTCCCCCTCAGCTCCAGGCCCAGGGGAGGTCCTCACACAAATCAAATCCAGCAGCAGGGAGGCCTTGAAGGTCCAATCCAGCTGCAAAGCCTCATTCTGCAGCAGGTCCTCCAGGCTGCCCCGCGCGCAGTGCTCCAGCACCAGAGCACGGGTCCCAGGAGCCACGAGGAAACCCAGGCAGGCGGCAACGTTTTCATGCCTCAGCTCCTGCATCTGCCAGGACAATGAGCATCTTTAGGAGCTCCCAGGGGTTGGACCAGGTGCAATCCACATCTAGGCCCTTGGTACATGCAGTACAGGGCTGAGCATAGAGAGGCATCAGAAATGCTGGATGAATGGGCAGATGAGTGGATGGATGGATGGATGGATGGATGGATGGATGGATGAGCAAATGAGTGGATGGATGGATGGATGGGTGGACAGATGAGTGGATGGATGAACGGGCAGATGAGTGGATGGATGGATGGATGGATGGATGGGTGGATGGATGGATGGGCAGATGAGTGGATGGATGGATGGATGGGCAGATGAGTGGATGGATAGATGGATGGATGGATGGATGGATGGATGGATGGATGGATGGATGGGCAGATGAGTGGATGGATGGATGGATGGATGGATGGGCAGATGAGTGGTGGGTGGATGGATGGATGGATGAGTGAGTGAATGAGCAAGTGGAAACATAAAAGATTAATAGTGAATGAGTTGTAGCCAATTCCACAGTGCAGGGATCTGAGCCTATTTCCCGACCTAAGAGACACCATGAACCTGAAAACTCCAAGCCTCAGTCACTGACGAGGAGAGGAAGAGTTGCAGAAGGGATCAGGTCCAAGCAGAAAGCAGCCTCCCTGACAGCTGCCCAACAGGTCAGAGAGCTTGAACCCAACTGACAATGCTAGCATTTGCTCAAGCAAGAGAGAACCCCTGTCTGGTGAGGCTGTTCTCACAAAAATAGTTTAGGGTCAACTAAGAAGGGGAGACCTGAATACTCTCCCCCCTTAGAAAGTCACACACATATTAATATATGTGGTGAGTAAGAGTGGCCTCAAATCCTTTGACATTCCTGCCCTCAAGAGGTGGGGCCTCTGTCTCTGCCCCCTCCCTCTCCCCGCTCCCCGAGTCTGAGCAAGCTCTGTGACACTGTGACCAATAGGACATGGTGAAAGTGGCCCCGTGAGTTTGTGGTCTGGGTCTTAGAAGACTGGCAGCTCTGTTTCCCGTCTTAGAGTCCTCTCTGTTGGAGCCCTGAATGGCCATCTGAGGTCCCTCTAGCCCGAGCTGCCGTGCGGGAGAGACCACACGCAGAGGCCCTGCGGCTGCACAGGGTGGGAAGGCAGGTCCAGCCCTGCCGAGGCACTTAGCACGTGAGTGAGGCCGGGTGAGGCCCTCTGGACGGATGGTTAGCAAACTTTTTTGCAAAAGTCCAGATGGCAAAAATTTTAGGCTTTGCAGGCCATACAGTGTCTGTCACAAATACTCACCTCGGCCGTTGTACTGCAAAAGCAGCCATAGACAATATATAAACAAAGGAGCATGTTATGGTCCAATAAAACTTTATCTATAAAAACAGGTAGGGGGCCTGATTTGGCCTGTGGGCCATAGTTCACCAACTTCTGACCATTTATAAGCTGACTACCACTGAGTGGCTCCAATCAATGCCAAGTGAAACTGAAAAATGGTCAAGCCAAGCCCTGCCCAAATTTCCTGCCCACAAAATTGTATGATAATATAAAATAATTTGGGGGATTATTTTTGTTGTTGTTTTAAGCCACTATATTTAAGGATAAGTTGTTATACGGTCATAGATAGCCAAAACAGTATATTGAAAGTTCTGAGAAATCCTGTTGCTAACCCAGGCAAGTTCCAAACTGATTTAACCACAATTGAGCCTTTTCTTTTAGGAAACATCTGTACACATGGGTTACAAGATGCCCACTGAAATGCCTACCTCCATTCACTTAGTGTCTACGAACCTGATTTCAGATGGCAGTGATGTTGGAAACAATAATAAAATTCACAATTTATGAAGATACATTACTTGCCGGGGCAGTGCTAGGTTATTTCATACGCCCTCTCTAACCGTCAGAGTTCCCCTGGGTGGTTTCACTATTTCCATTTTACAGGAAAGCCAAGTGTCCTGTGGAGGCCGAATTCCACCTGGGATCTTCCTGACTCAGATCCTGTGCTCCGTCCTCCATCCCACAGAGCCTCTCAGGCCGGTGACAGTCTCAGGGGAGAAGGGACTTATGTGATTAGTGATGACACATAACTGGAAGCTCCCTGGGGGAAGGAATCCTGTTTCCTTTCTGCAGCTGCCTCTTCCAAACCCAGAACAGAGCTTGGCACAGAGTTGGTGTTTAATAAGTAGTGAATAAAAGGTAAATGCATGGAGGGATGGCGGCTACTCGGATGTGTTGATTATACGTGCGGTGACACTGACAGAAGGGACTGTGCCTCTGGTGGTCATGGTGATGATCATGTTAAGGTGGTGACATGACTTTGGGATGCCGGTGTGTGACGGTGACAGCGATGGTGTATAATTGTGACCGACAGGGTGGTGATCGTGATAATAGAAGGACTTCCTTTCTGAGGTTAGAAGCTTCCACATTAAGTAGGGACCAACCCAGATCCGCAGGGGTCTCCTGAAGGCGCCCCGTCCCCAGCCCACCCTCCGGGCCCTCTGCAGCCTACCTTTCTCAGGAGGCTGAGGCAGCTTGGCCGCAGCTCCGGGCCGTGCCAGCTTCAAATGTCTTCAACCACACCCACTCTCCCTGCTCAAGCAAGAACAAGAGTTCAGTGGCTGCTAGTTCCCAGCTGGGTGACCTCGGGCAGATTCCTCAGCCTCTCTCAGCCTCAGCTTCTTCCCCATAAATGTGCTCTTTCTGTGTGCTCCACGCCAGGGGAAACAAAAGCTGGGCTTTTACTGCAGCCCCCACCCCTGAGGTTAGGCCAGGGGCCCGGCATGACTGACAAACTTGAGTTCCAGTCCTAACTCCCCCACTTTCAAGTTCTGTGACCTTGGGCAGGTGACTTCAGATCTCTGAGCCTCATGTTTCAGTTCTGTAAAATGGGGATGATACCCCCATGACCATCACAAGGGTTGGTGAGGTGGTGGATATAAAGGTGTTAGTTCCTGGCCCCAAGGACAGATTTACTCTGCAGGGCCTCAGACACCCATGACACCCCAAACCCTGGAAGTGAGGAGGCTCTGTGACCTCCTCCAGGGGAGGGCAGAGGGGAGGGGTGGAGGAGCAGAGGCCTCGGGCCAGAACCAGCTGTAACCCCAGCCCTCTCTCCCCTCTCAACAATAGAGTTCTCCCTCCTCAGCCTCAGTGGCAGCCTCTCAGCTAACTCAGAAAAGACACAGCAAGCTTTGTACATCTTTAAAGCCTCCTTCCAGCAGAAATGAAAAAAGAGATGGAATTCCCCAAAGAGAAGGTAGAAAAGAAGGAGGAAGAGCCTCCCGTCCCTTCCTGTAGAAACAGCTAGCCCAGTTCGTCAAGTGTGCATCATAGAACAGGAGAAATGGAGCACTGGCCAATTGCTGCGTTTGAGAACACAGCTCCTGAGAATTCGCAGTGTCCTCAGCAGCTTCAGGATCTTGCCAGTCTAACCTCTGTCCTTTCAGGCTCCCTGTCCTCTGGTGGCCCAAGCTCTGCCTAGAGGCTGTCCTGGGCTGGGTGCTGCCTCGGGCTGGGTGCTGCCCCCACGTGTCAGGGCCTCAGGAACCAAGATCTCATTGCCTCTCACCAAGGCAGGCCGGAGGGCGACCTAGGCTGGCCCTTGTGCTGAGAGAGGCCCTGGGGTGGGCCCTCCGCTGACAGTGCCCAGGAACTCGCTGTTTCCCAAGGTCGGATCACAAACCATGCCCGACTGGGAGCTGGGAATCCTGCTTCCCAATTTTAGCCCTGCCACCATCTTGTTATGGAACCCAGAAAAATCACTGCTCTTCTTTAGGCCTCAGTTTCCCATTCTGTAACAAGGGTGGGACATGCAGAGATCAGAGAAGCTGTGGGCTCCCTCAGTTTCTCCCAAACTGCAACTCCCAGGCCTGGGCTGGTGGCGGAGGTTCTCGCCTGGTACAGGGCCACGTTGGTAGGCTCCTGGGGGGCTGGCAGGCTCCTCGCTGATCCCTGGGCCACAGACCTCAGGCTCCCACCATCTGTCATACTTCTTGATTCACTCGTACTATCCACTTGCAGCCTCTGGAGGGGCCAGATCCAGTCAAGAGCTTAGATCGGGCCTCAGTCCACTGCCTACCCACCTGGCCCAGTGGCTGCCCCACCCACCTGTCTGCTCAGGGGCCGCTGGATGAAGGTGAGCTCCTGGGCTGTCAGCAGGATCCGGCAGGGGCCCCGCACCAGCTGCAGTTGCTGGCTGCCCCATCTGGAGGCGAGAGAAAGTGCAGGGCAGAGGGTGTGGCCGGGGTATCACTCCTGTCTCTGTCTGGCCCCTTTGACCTGCCTCTGACCCTGAGCTCTCACCTACCCTCTGCCCATTTCCCTTCCTGCCTCCCCAGCAGTCCCAGCTGGGCTAAGACGGCACCACCAAGCAGTGCCCTCCACAGAGACCCCCCTCAGCCCTGTCTCAGAGCCGGACCCCCAGCCCGATGTACCTGCTGGGCTCAGCCTCAGGGTTCCCATGTCACCTGGAGGCCTCATGGGAAAACCAGAGCCTGAGGTGAGGACTGGGAGTGGAGGGCTGCCCCTTCCTGGATGTAGTTGAGGCTCAGGGAGGAACACAGACAGCTTGAGACCCAGAAAGAAGCATTTCCAAAGCCGAAGGTCACCCTGGCCGACCCCCTACGGTACAGCAGCATGGCTGAAACTCGGAGGGGACGGGGTCTTGTCCCAGCCCCAGGCTTCTTCCCCAAGTCTCCTCAGGAGGCACCCTGGCCTTGACAGAGTCTCACAGAGGCTCTGGGAGGGACAGGAGTGTGAGACAGTCCTGAGGTCCTGGGATGGAGGAAGTCCCCTGCAGACCACCAGGGCTGTGCACACAGGAGAGCGTCTCAGGCTCAGGCACACAGCCTCACCTGATGAGGCGAGTGAGGGCCCCACCAGCGAGCAGAACACAGGCCAGGACCAGAGCAAGCAGGTCGCCCGGGGGCTGCGTACCTGGTGAGGAAGCAGGGGCAGGCGTGAGTCCTAACAGTAACAACCATGCAAGGAGTACATCCCCTTCGCTCAGTCCCAGCACCTACCTCTTGGGTCCCCTCTGGGACATGGGGACACAAACTTCTGCCCACCACCTCCCCAGGAGTGAGACTCGGAATGGTCCCCAGCCAGGGAATTCCTATCTGCAGCCGATCGTCACACACAGATGTTGACACTGAGAAGTGTTGCTGTCTGGGTTCTCACCTCGGGCTCTCTGCCTCGGGCCCCAAAGACCCTGCTGACGCCCCACTGCAGTCCTGATCCCACCGTGGCCTTTTGTCTGCCAGAGGTCGGGTCCCTTTCCACTAGACTGAGAGCAGCAGAACAGCCGGGCCTGTGTCTCATGCATCTCAGGGCTCCCGGCCCTGAACGCAGCGTCTGGACAGGGCAGGTGCTGGATAAAAATTGTGTATCCTTGTCAATTGTTATCCTACTTCTTGTTGCACGCCCTTCTCAATGGGCCACGCCCCGCTCGCTTTGGCAGTCAGTTTCATTGTCATTCACTTTGACTGTTAGAAGTGTCCCCTTTACTTTGAATCTGAATCTCAAGCCCTGATCATAGGAGTTGGATGAAAAGAGGCTGCTTAGGACCACGTGCTCTGTAAATGTTTTAGCCCCGCTCAGCTGAGGGGAGGCCTTGCTAACCCTCCCTGGCACTGCACACCTGTTGGTTCAGTCTTCTCAATAGAGGGTCAAGTCTCTTCTTTTACCTATTCTTGCCCCTCACCTGGCTGACTTGACTGTCCACAGGGAGAGCCTTAATGGGTGATGGATGGATGGATGGATTACCTCTCATGCATAATGTATCGGGGTCAAACCAGCAGCTGGAGTCACGTGCCGGAAGGGCCCCTTCCGGGAAGTGTATGGCAATGTCCAAGGGCTGCACTTGCCACGTGCCTGTGTCCAGAATGTGGGTGGGGACCAGCTGGCTTCCCCGACCACCTGTGTCCGAAATGACATACTGAGCCAGCCTCCAGCCCTTCTCATCTGTCCGGATCCTCTGGCTAAAGCCAGCCACATCCAGAGCTCCTGTGTGGTCCCCTAAGTGGGCCCCAGAGAACCCTGTCCCTTGTCTCGCCGCGCGGTTCAAGGCATGGGCCAGCAGGATAACAGCATCGTAGATGGTTCCAAAGAGCGGGGACACCTGTCAAAGAGAAGGTCCCTTAACCCCAAAACCCCACGGCACAGGCTCCCAGACATCTCTGAGTCCTGGCCCTTCTGCCAGCAGCAACTGTTTGGATTGCCATCCCTTAACCATCACCGCCCGAAACACACTTCCTCTCTTTCCTCCCACCATCGCCTCAGTCCCCACTCAGCAGCCTCACAGTCTCCACGGCTACCACCACCACCAACTCCGATGTCTCAGCCATGTCAAACCTACCTACTGTGTCCTAAATACAACTAACTCCTGGTTCTGCAAGGTTCTGCCTGGCTCTACCACGCCAAACCCCACTCCTCCCACATTTTAGGACATGGAACCACCGTCTGCCCAGTGCCTCAAGCCTCAGGTTAACTCCCGACTCCTCTCTTTCTCTCTTCCAGTCCATCATCACATCTTTTTGGCTTTATTTCAAAATGTATTCCAAACTCAACTGACTGCTCACCAACTGTACTCCTGCTACCTGGGTCTGAGCTACACTCACTGCTCACCTGGACCACACAGGAGCTTCCTAGGGGCCTCGTTGCTTTGTTTAGCCCTCTTCCGGCCATTCCCCATAAAGCAACCAAAATGGTATTTTTAAAAAAATCAAAACATGTCTTACTTAAAACCCACTGATGGTTTTCTCAGGATAAGCTCAGGCTCCTAACCCTGCTCTGCAATGCCTCACGTGATCAGGCCCACGCTCATCTCAGATTCCTCTCCTCATCACATGTGGCATAAGCCCTTCAGCCTGCTCCCCCGGCCTTTGACTCGCACGCTGCCTTGGGGCCTTTGTACTTGCTGCCCTACCTGGTTGTTCTTCATCCAGAGCTTCACCTGGATGCCTCCTCATCACTCAGCACTCAGCTCAAGCACACCTCCAAAGCGAGCTTCCCTGCCTCTCCTCTCTACCTCTTGTTGCCCACTACTCTGGCACTATCCCTGGCCACCTTCTGACACTATCTTGTTTTATTTTCTTGGCAATGTTATCCCTCTAAAATTTTGTTATCAGGTTGCTTGTTTATGGTCTATCTCACCCTAACAGAATGGAAGTTCCTTGAAAGCCAGATCGGTCTTGCCCATCACCGTGTCCCTGTTGCCTGGCCCAGTGGCACATGAGAAGGACTCAGTTCACATTTGTCAGATGAATGAATCACTGATTGAATGGCCCTCCATCAGCGTCTGAATCTCTGTCACCACCTCTAGGCACCATTGTCTTCTTGTCATCAAGAAGCATGGCCATCCCAGGGAGACTCAAGCAGCTGAGTGCTAGGGCCAAAGCCGAGCCAGCAGCCGCACCCGCCCCCCGCCCAACACCCTTCAGATTCACCGCGGTGACTTCAGGAAACCTCCCCCCTGCCCACACTCCCAACACTCTCCTTCTGATCCTCAGAATTTGCTAGAGATACAGAGAAAGGAGGGGACGAATGTTTGCAAGAGCAGCTGACCTAGGAGTGACAAATAAAGAAATTAAGTTAGAGATAGAAAAATAGAAGCCAAAGAGACACAAAAGGAAAATAGACCAAGCAGGCTAAAAGAGTGACTAGTATGAGAAAGAAGAGAGAAAGAGACAGACAGAGGCACGCGTACACACACACAAAACCCCATGAAACAAAAAGAGAGAGTACACCAGAAACTAAACAGAGTCACTTTGTCAAATAAAGAACGGGTCATGTGCCCACAGTGGAGATGGGACCAGTCGGCCAGGCTGGCAGCTGGCCAAGGCCAAGAAGGCCCAGAGTGGGGAAGGAGCACATGCACACCTGCCCGGGGCCCTAGACTCTGAATCCATTGAGGGTCGGCACTGACCTACCTGCTCCGGCTCCAGGACAGCCACCTCTCCACTGGCCCCAGAAGCTTTGAAGGCCTCATCCAGGGAGCCAGACTCCAGGGTGACACTGAGCACTGCATCATAGACCCCTTGAAGCAGCCCGCTCTGGCCAAGGGCTGGGTAGGAGCGGTTTCGGTAGGGCAAAGCGAAAAGCATGGTGTCATAGGGCAGGAGGACCAGCCTCCCATCTGCCAGGCCCTGGGCCCAGGCTTGTCTCAGCAGGGTCACCTGCTCGGAGCCACCCGGGAGTGCCGAGTTCATGCACAGCACCACGACTAGAAGCAGACGGGCAGGATCACTTTTGCAGGCCGTCCCTGAAGTCCAGAAGCCCGTGGCCCTGGAGAGCTGCTCAGAGCTCCTAGGTCCGTCCTCGCCCCTCTGCTACTACTACCCAGCTCCCTCCCCACCCCATCCTGCCTGTCTGGGAAAAGGAGAAATATCCCCTCTGTCTGTTCCCTCTGTAACCGTAACATGCAGGACCACCAAATGGGTTCGACCTGGTGGAAAAAAAAGATCCCCTCAACTGAGGATAGATTTCTGTTAACTCCTCCCTTCCAGCCTGCACACCCAGTCATTTTGACCAACTTCCCCCCTTCCCTCTGCTCTGCCATCTCTGACAATCCCTAACGTATATTGACAGCTTGCTCTGAGTTGTCCTAAAGTACTTTTGCAAACATTAGCTATTTGATATTACAACAGTACTATGAAGTATGTTTATCATTGTCTCTCCTTTCAGACGAGAAAAACCAATGTCCGGAGAGGTTGAGGAGTGACTCCTGCACATCTACGCCCGGGGCGGCAGGGCAGGGATCGGAACCAGGCAGCCTGGCTCCCCCTTGTAATCTTTTCTTTTCTTTTTTCAGATTTAAAAAAATTAACATAATTTATATACCATCAAGTATACCCTTTAAAAAAATTTACAACTCAAAAAAAAAAGTGAACTCAGTGGTTTCAGTATATACACAAGGTTGTGTAACCATCACCACTATTTAATGCTAGAACACTTTTTATCACCCCAAAATCGACCTTATACTCATTAGTAGTCACTTCCCATTCCTCCCGTCCCCTAGCCCCAGTTAACTATCTATTCATCTGCTTTGTCTCTATGGATTTACCTATTCTGGACATTTCATATAAATATAATCATACAATATGTGGTCCTTTGTGACTGGTTTCTTTCCCTTAGCATCAAGTTCTCCAGGTTCATCCATATAATAGCCTATAGCAGTATTCCATTCATTGTTATGGCTACACAATATTCCACTGTGTGGGTAGAGCACATTTTGTTTATCCATTTATCATCAGCTTGTAAATTGAACTGTGGCTCTGGGTGGCATCCTCAAGGTCTAAGCAGGCATGAATACAGTCTCCTTTGCCTTAGTAAAATAAATTGGCTCTGGGAAATAAGGTAGCCAATTTCATCCCCAGGAACCCAGTCCAGAAGGGAGCCCTGCCCAAGGTAAAGGTCCCACACATCTGCCCAAGGTAAAAGTGCTCTGTATGTTGGGTCGCTGACCTGGGCTGCAACCCCAGCCAATAAAGGACCACCACTTGTTTTGAATGTGGCCCATGTTCTTACAGCAAACCCTTTCCCCAAAAATCCAGGAATATGGAGCCAGCTGAGGAAAGCTGAGGGTCTCTTTGCTGGGTCCTGAGGACCCCTGTGGAGGTCACGTGGAGGTCAGAGCCTGAAGCCCTGGGTAGCCATGCTATGTGGGCACGGGTAGGCTCCACGCCCTCTTTTCCCCAGAGTAGGCCTTCCGAAGGAGACCCACCAGGACTCGGGGGAAACAGAACCAGGGCTTCCTTTGTCCCTTCTCTGCCTGGCTCCTGTTCCACTTCCCGCCAAACCTCCGCTTTCCCTTAGGAGGAGCCGGAGCCGCTGTTTTATATTTGGCCACAAGAGGGAGTTGATGCACAAACCTGGGGAGGTTAATGGATAAAAGCCTGCGTGGATTTTAAGCAGTGCTCACTATGTGCAGGGCAGGGTTCTAAACCCTTTGTCTGCAGTTTATCTCATCTTCACAACACTATGAAATAAGAACTTTTATTAGGCTCCTATCATTGATGAGGAAACAGCACAGAGAGGTTTAGTGATTTGCTTGAGGTCACACAGCTGGTAGGAAGTGGGGCCCGCTATGGGATCCTGATTATGTGAGTGCAGAGAATGTGCCCCTAACCACTCTGCCTCCTGGATGCTGAAAGTCAGCGCAGTGGCTGGACTCAGTCTCCTGCAACAGTGTTGGAGAAGGAGCCTGGTTCGTTCCCGCACGACTGCCGCTCTGCTCCAGCCACCCAGAGGTGAACTGTTCGTTCTCCTGGGCCAGTCAACCAGCTGCCTCTGTTCCTTTGCACTAGCTCACCCCTCGGCCTGGAGTGCCTTCCCCCCCATCCCCCTGCAGTCAGCTTCTCATTTTCAGGCCCTGCCCCAGTGTCACCTCCTCTGTGAAGCCCTGCTCATCCCCAAGTAGGTCAGCTCTCCCAAAACCTCTGGGCTCCTCTGCTGCCTAAATGCACACTGTCTCCTGCCAGACTCACTGCTGGGTGGGGCCCGGCTGGTTCCTCCCCACATCCGCAGAGCCAGGCCAGGGTCAAGCTCACAGAAGTGTTCGGTGACTGTTGGTTGAAGGGTGTTTACAAAGCACTTGGTCACATACATGTGCAATGCACTCCATATTCACTACTTTTATTCCATCCTATTTTATACTATTCTACTCAATTTTATTCTTCTCTATCACTTTCTACGTCATATTCTCTCTCTCTCTCTCTCTCTCTCTCTCTCGCTTGTCTTGATTCACTAACTTGGTTTATGAACCCAAATGGCACACACCTTGAAAAACCCCGGTCTAGAGTGACTCTAAGGTCCCTTCTGTCTTCCAGGTGACGCCTCTCCCTATACCCCAATCTACCATCCCTCTCCTGCTAACTACTTCCTTAAAGACAGGTCAAGTGTCACCTCCTCCAAGAAGCATCCTCAGATCCCCCAGGGCCTAGCCCCATGTCTCCTCTGATTCTCCAGGCCTTTGCTTCCTGGGATGACCTTGACCTCTCTGTCATAACCCCCTGTCTGTTCACCACACTGTCATCCCCTGGAGATGAGCCACCTTGTCTGTCCTGTTCACCCATGCAACCCAGCACGCAGCACGGCAGAGGCTTGGTAAACTCAGGAAGCTAGCAAACAATCAACAAATCCGTGAAAGTTCTAACTCTAACTCCAAGAAACTAAGAACGGCTCTGACTCCCTTCCTGGGGCACCCTTCCTATTCTCTCACTTCCTTCACTATACCAGGCAACAACTAAGAAAGCCTTTGGCTCCCACTCCACAACTGATGTTTGAATCAGAACTCAAAATCTGGCTGAACTGCTTGCCAGCGATGTGACTCAGGCATGTTACTTCCCTTCTCTGAGCTGCAAAGTGCAGACCTCAGCAGGACCAGCTCTCAGAGCGGCTGGGAGGTTAATTGCGGGTCATTGTCAAGTGCTCAGCCCAGTGTCTAACATGGAGGAAATGCCCCATCCGCAGCCCTATGAAGTCTAGGCGGCCTGCAGGAGGAAGACACCCTGTACACTTACTTTTCAGGCCATCCACGCTGCGGAGCTGCTTCAGTACCTCTGTGGCCTCCTACCCTCTGGGTCCCAGAGAGGTCACCGGCACCACAGGCAGCCATGTGTCCTGAGAGCCGTGGCCACCTGCCGGGCTATGGCCACCCAGGTGCCTTGGTGGAAGGACACAATGGCCACACGAGCCCAGCCGAAGTATCTCATGATGGACAGCAGCACCTGCGCAGCCGAAGGCAAAGTGGGCACCAGCTCGCCTCCTCCCTCTGGAGCTTCGCATGCCCAGGAGAAGAGGGTCTTGCCCCAGCCTTGGGCCAGCAAGGCTGCCACTGGGCAGTAACCAGGGTCAACAAGACCCAGCTACAGCGTTCCTGTGGGCCAGAAATGTGGCCAGGGCATGAGGGGTGTCATAGCCCATGGGAAGGACCACACAATCCAGCTGCGAGCCCCGCGCCAGTGAGGAGTCCTGGTTAGCTCGGTCCACAGCCAGCTGGGCAGCCGCACTGGGGAGAGCCTGCGCAAAGATGGGGTTGCGGTCCCAGGGACCCAGCACCCCCAGGGTGAAGGTGCCCACCCCACAGGCCAGATTGGGGAGGGAGCCTGCCAACAAGAGGGCACTCCAAAGAACCACAGAGAGAAACGGCAAGGAAGGGGCCATCCTCGGGCGGCTGAAAGTGGGCTCCCACAGGGCCTGGCAGGTCGGGAGGGTCTTCCCGGGTGGCAGCATCCAGGACCAACCTTCAGGGCGCGAGCCCCCTTGCATTGCTGGGGAAGGAAGATAAGGACACGTTTTCTGCCATGATCTTCGACATAATTTTGATGCAGACACCCTTCCCAAAACCTCTACCTCCTCATTGGTAAGACAAGGGATTTGGACCCATGATGTTGGAAGAGCCCCAGCCTCGTGAGGCCCACACGTAGTCCTGGGCTGGAGCCCAGTGGCTCAGGGCGTGGGCTCTGGAGTTGGACCTGGCCAGACCCTCTCACTGCTCCCCATCCTTGTGGCCCTGCACCAGTCTCTGAAGTTTTCAAGCCCATTTTCCTCCTCTGTTGAAGGTGGATAATGAAACCTATTTTATGAAGTTATTGTGATGATTGAAGGACTCACCACTCTCCCTGGTGCCTCGGTGTTCCATAAAGTCTACCTCTTTCAATCTATTACTATTATTCCTTTCTGCACTCATCCTCCAAGGGGTCGAGGTTCTCCTGGTGCCCCTCGGAGCCTCCTCCGCCTCTTACCCTGAAGCCCAGCACCATTTCATAGAACCTGAATCAGCTGGAATCCTTGGGTCCCCTAGTGTAAACAGGGCCTAAGTACAGGGAGCTCCTCCATCGCATGTCTGTGGCTAGAGGGCTTACAACACATGTGCACAGTGCCCTCTCTGATGCCACACAGCCCCGTGCAGAGGACTTTCTATCCTTATTGTACAGATGAGGAAACTGAGGGGAACTGAATGGGGTGCCCCCTTGACCAGGACACTTGGACCGGGGCATTCTCTGTTCCATCAGACTGTTCCAGGACCTTGATGCCATCCTGCGGCCCGGCATCTCATGCCTGACCCCTGCCTGCATCCCTGCCATTGCCCCTTCCCCACCCACAGGACTCAGCCAAGCCTCCAAGTCCACTTACACAGTCAACAGCCTCCACGGTGGGTGCCCCCAGAAGGCATCAGATGTAATCTCACCCTTCAGAAGCTGCCAGGCTGATAGGGAGGCAGGTCCCTGCCCGCCCAAGAGCAGAACTAACCGCAGTGCGCGCAGTAGGCGGGGCCAGGGGCGTGGCTCTCAGACCCTCCTGAGAAGGCTCAGGAAGGGCTTCCCAGCAGAGGCCCAGCTCAAACCAGCTGACACTTGGATGTGTAGATCGGGAGGGTAAGAGGACACCCTCCTGATGCCAACAGCGGTGGTCTGTTCAGAGTCCAGGAATAAGAAGGGCCTTGGAATTACGCAGAGCAATAAACCCTAATTTTATCACTCACCAACCCCTAACCTTTGACAAGATGCTTAACTTGCTAAGCCTCGGTTTCCTTATCTGTAAAATGGAGATGAGAATAGCTACCTGGGAGTGTTGTGTGAAGACTGAAATGTGTAGAGCACAGCGGGATACTCATTGTGGTAAGTAGGGAAGTAAGTAGGTGCTAACTAAATGGCATAGTTTGACTATCACCATCAGCACTATCTTTGGATCTCTGAGGGGAGGCATGTGCTTTGTGGTTTAAAGAGAGCTGGACCGGAGGTGGGAGCATGAATTTCAGCCCCAGTCCTGCCTCTCCCCACACAAAGCCTCAGCCTCTCCAGCTGTAAAGAAGCCAGTTTGAAGGGCTGGCCAACTGTGGCTCCTTCAGGTCTGCAATTCTATGGCTCTCCCAGCTCAGGGCTCGGTGGCTTGGGGGTGGCTGCTCTTCTGCCAGCCTCTGAGGAGCCCTCTGTACCCTCCCTCCCCTTCTGCCATGCTCCTCAAAGTGGTCTCGGCATCCCTGCCCCTGAGGACGGACCCCTTGGAGGAGCTGGGCTTGTCCTGGGCTCACAGAGAGCTAACCATTTCGAGCTGGGAACGTAAGCATAGGTGGCTGATACTAATGCCAGCCGCCTTGCCCCTCAACTTGTACTTTCCAGAGCACCTGTGACCCGCTGCTTTGCCTCTATTCCCAGAGGCCCTGAGAAGAGACAAAATGACTCTTAGTGGGTCAGTTACTTGTCTGAGGTCACACAGAAAGTTAGGGCTGAGCTGAGTCAGGGCTTGACTTCCCATGGCCCTGTCAAAAACGAAAATCACCTTTTAACTGAATACCTAGAACATCAGAGCTGAAGCATCCTTGGAAATCTAAACCTCTAAACCAACTCCCCTGAGGCACAGAAAGGAGGAAGAAGAAGGGCCTTCCCTAGGTCCCACAGAGCAGCAGCCGGCTCCCGGACCCCCTGCCCTGCTGGCCATGCCCGGTGTCCCAGGAATTCTGCATCCGAGGCAGCAGGGACGCGCAGAAGGCTCAGGCCTGCAGCCTGGCCAGCCGGGGGCCAGGGCAGGAGCCCACTTTAGCCCCAGCTCTGCTGCTGATATGTGAGATGGAGTCTGTTTTTCTTTGTATGCCTCAGTTTTTCCATTTATACAGGGGCGGGGGAGAGGCTTAGTTTAGATGTTTAGGTCTTTAGAGTCCTTCAGCTCTGATGTTCTAGCTGTTAATAAAAATCAGGAAACAGGTGACGTGTCTCCGAAGATCGCCACATCCCCTCTCCCAGCCCCGCCCCCGGCAGTAGGTGGGCTGTCAGTGTGCCCCCGCCCCCCCGCAGCCTGGGCACAGTGGGTTAATGCACCGCCTTCCTGGGGGGAGGTCATTTGTAATTTTAGACTCAAGGAGATGGACCCCAAGAACTAGCCACAGATTGTTGGCTCAGGGAGCCACGTTCATGGAGGTAGCCAACTCCATACCATCATAACCCAAATAGATGAAGACACCGTTAGCTACATGAACAGACAAAACACCAAAATAGGGAAGATGATAGGAAACATGGGAAGGGGGATGGGCAAGTCCTGTCAGAGCCAGGGCTCCTTCACCTTCTGTATCCAAGGGTCAGCCTCCTACCCCCAACCTGATCCTGCCTGCCCATCTTCTGGACAAGACCCACCTGGCAGACTGTGGTGGGTTGGGGCTGACTCACTGCCTCTTTGGGATCCTAGGTTTCCGCACCAGGGTCCTCAGATGTCAAGCTCTTCAAACAGACTCTGGCCTGGGGGGCCCCCCTTGCCACCGCAGCCAGCATGGTCACAGCTCCTGTTGCCCACCCACTTCCAGAGACTCCTGCCTGGGGAGCGCTTCATATATGGCCCATTCCCTCCCTGTCCCCCACAGGAACATGAAGAAGCCATTTGGAAAATTTGATCTGTTTAGATCCCAGGACTCTGGGGAACCAAGCCAGAAAGGAAGGAAGGAATGGACGAGGGAGCACCTGAGGGAAAGAGGGAGGGAAGCGGGGAGGGAGGGAGCTAGGGAGAGAAGATGTCTTCAGCACTCCGGACAGCTCCAGACCTGGCTGGGACTCCCAGGAGGAAGGGGATGAGCCAGCACTAAAGAAACCAGCATTACTGAACATCCACTATGTGCCAACACCATTTACAAACCACTGAGACAGGTATTATTATTACTGTATTCCCACTTTATAGATAAGTAAGTACAACCCAGAGAGGTTAAGTAATTCAACCAAGGGCACAGAGCTAGTAAGTAGAGCAGTGATTATAGATCCAGGTTTCTGCTCATCATATCACATTGATTCTTTGGGAATTATGACGAAGGTTTTTCTCTCTTCCCTTTTAGGGGACCCTTATGAGGAGACAGACACAACTCTCCAGTGGACTTTCAGCCCTTCCTCCCCGCTTAGGTGAAAGTAACCTTCACCAAATAAGTATCTACCATGTGGCAGAGATCATACATACCTTCTCTCATTTAATAATTACAACAACCCTGTGAAGTAAGTGTTGTATTTTGCCTTTTCCACATCACTTTATTCAGTCAGCAATATTTACTGAGGACCAACTATGTTTCAGGCACTGTTCACTTGAGATATATCAACAAAGAAATAAAAAGACCCAAAGTGTTTGCCCCTCACAGAGCCAACTTTATAGCGGAAGTAGAGAGAGATGTGCGTGAGTCAACAAACAATAAACATGATAAATAAGTAGATTTATCTTTTATTTACAAAGTGATAGGTGACATACAAAAGTAAAAGTAGACTGGTAATAATGTTGTATTATAATTCAGTACAAGTGTTTCCCATAATTTTACACAAGCTCTATAATTCTAATTTAATGGTCAAGGAACACATTGAGTAGATATTGTTGGATATTTTTATTTAGCCCTTATTTTGTTCTGGAAGGATTTTATGGCCCTTGTTGATATGCCAGAGAGATGCCTGTTTGCTCTCAGATCCATTCCCTGATCTTTCCAAACCTGACAGAGTCTCCAAGAGGGAGGTTAGAGGGACCTCTGTCCCGCAGGGAGCAAACCCTGAAAACTTCATTTCCCAGCATCCCCTGCCACTGGCTTCTGTCTGGGTTTAGCCAATAGGAGACACTCACAAGAAATTGGAGGACAAGAAAAAGGGAGAAGCCAGGAGATTGCTCTCTCTTTTTGTGTGTGTGCATGAGAGAGAGAGAGAGAGAGAGAGAGAGAGAGAGAGAAAGCACGCACGAGCGAGCACTTTGGACAGTGCTCCAGTGATGACTTGGTCTCCTCTCTGGCTCTGGCCTCTTCAGATACCCTTCCTATGTGGCCCCAATTTTTGGACTCAGGTACGACCACCTCTTTCCTCAGTCTTGTCCCTCCCCACCACGGGAAGGAGAGACTTTCTGCTGTGACCAATCTCAGAACTGCTTCTGATCCCAACACCTTTCCTTATTCTAATTTCCCACCATTGAACTACTGATCAGGATTCTGTTTTCCAGAGCGTACCCTAACTGATACATTATATATCTGATTTGTTTGAAATTTCTCACCATTGTGAATATTTCTTTAATAGATACCACACTTTTGTAATATTTTGAATTTTTCCTTTATGATAAATATGTGAGGATTTACTCAGAAATAGCCATACTGGACCAAAGAATAGGAACATTATTAAGGCCTTTGTTGCATATAGCTTCATATTGCAAATTCAAAAAAATGT